AGAGGTTGGTCGCACATGCCGATTCCCCGTCACTCCCTCTACCCACCCTCACGCATATGACTCCCAACGGCAGTGCTGAGGATGCGGCCAGTCTTGACCTGTCCGCCATGCCTGTCTGTCTCGGCAGCCTCAACCTCGCCTCCCCATCTGCCCTCGGCCCCGGTCCGTTGTCCAGCCTTCCGCCCGGCCCGTTGCCGCCCGCAGATCCCCTCCTCATGAGCCTCGTCCATCTGCTTCTCGTATCTGCCGCCAGCCAGAGGCCCTTCGGCCAACCTCCCTCCCCGGCACCGCCACTTCTGCCCGCCTCAACCAAGACGACGTCGACGTCGGCGCCAATGCAGACAGTGACCACCGGAGGCGCCTTGACGACCGGCTGCTTCATCGGCGGTAGTGCCAACTTGCCATTGAACGCCTGGTTCGGCGGTTGCCAGGCTGGGCTACAAGACACCGTGAAGCCTGTCTCGGTGAGAGAGGAGGAGGAGAACGAGGCTGATGGCGAAGAGGAGGAGGAGGAAGGGGAAGAGGAAGAGGAGGAGACCATGGCAACCACGAGTTTGGGCGATGGGTTTGAGGCGTTCGGATACCCGAAGCCTGGCGACTGGTCCGCCCACGATGGCCTCAGGCTGGGCTCTCTGCTCGTCTGCCGAGTGCTGGGGAATGGCGCTGCTGAGGCCGGGCAGATGACACCGCCCATCGGCCCCATCCAACCGCAGACCTCGCCGATTACTCGTCACCTCTGCCTCGGCGACGGCCCGTTGGACCGGGCCAAGGTTGCTGCGACTCGGTCCGCCTCGCCGTTGTCAATGCATGGACACGTCGACCTGCTGTCGTCACCGTCACTACCAGCCTCGACATTCCCCTTCCCCGGACCCACCTCGACTGCCGGTTCCCTCCTCCTGCCCCTCCTTCGTCTGCCCGGTCCCCCGGCCCCCCCTCCACTCTCCGACGTCGGACCCGGCTTCTCTCGCAGTCCAGGAATCGCTTTCAGCCTTGCCGGCCAACCGGAGGCCGGACTACTCCGGCCTCTCGACGGCTACGGCTATGGCTACGGCAACGGCAACTGCCAAACACCATTGCTGACTGTGTCTACGAGATGCGAAGCTGCGATGCCGTCACCGTCTCGTCTGCTCCCTCCTCCTCCTCCTCCTACTCCTCCTCCTCCTCCTACTCCTCCTTCTTTTCCTCCTCCTCCTACTCCTCCTCCTCCTCCTACTCCTACTCCGCCGCCGCCGCCGCTGCCGCCGTCGTCGTTGCCGGCGTCGACATCATCGCCGTCGATTCGACCGTTTCAGGGCTTTCCAACGCCTCCGGGACAAGGACAGGGGACGGCAGAACGAGTGTTGCTGCCGGCAGGAAGAAAGACGACTGAAGCGTATCCTTTCGCCTCCGTCTCGGCCCAACTGGCCAATCTGCCAAGCCATCTGAAGCACTGGCTCTTTGAGGACAAGGACAGCTGGGTTCGACGCGCCCTGCCCATGCCCTGGTTCTCCATCATAAGTAGGCCATGTCTGCAGAGCGCTAATGCTTCCTAAACAATTGTAGATAAAAAGAGTAACTGTCTTTCGATGACTCTCTTAAGACTGTCATTTCGTGTGGAAGTGGGCGGAGTAGCGATTGGTAGGTTGGTCTCACCAGAAGACGACGGCTGAATCCCGTTGTACTGCAGCCGTTTGGCTCGAATAGGAAATTCAGGTTAACGCAGTCCACGAGACATCCTCCCTCACTTCGAGTAAAAACTGGCTAGAATTTCGTCCATCACATGATGCACATCATCAGAGCCTGAAATTATTCTTTTAAACGCCTCACGTTGACACTACGTCAAGAAGACTATTCGGCTCTATTTTGCCTCTTATATCTACTCGTAGCCAAAAGCGAAAATGAACAGGCATAGACAACTATAAGAAACTTAGAATTAGTTTGCCCTTATTTTCGCAATTTGGTCGTATTGGTAGGAAGACTTAAATGAACGCACCTTGTCCGGAGTCCATTGTACCGTGGACGTGGTACATTCCCAGGCGTCTCGCCGGCATCTTCGGTGAGCATTTTCAGTCCATTACCACAATACAACTCGTCAAAGAAACAAGTGAAGCCGATCCTTTGACCAATTGTCTGTTAAACAGTTGTGGTATCGCTCCTTCTCTCCTGGGCTATTCACCTCTCCTATATCTTC